GCAGTGGTGGAGCTGGGATGTGAATCCTGCAGGGAATGCAGCTGTGGCCACCCTGATGGGGTGGGATGGGATGAAGCTGGGAAATGGGACAGGGTTTGGGATGGGATGGGAAATGTCTTGAATGCCAAAACCTCTCTGTGGGTCCCTGACTGAGAGTTTGCTGAGAGAGGCTCATTGAGGCACCTTGAGGCACCCCAAAACTGCCAGCCAGGGGGCTCAGGGTGTCCCACTGAGCCACAGCAATGCCCCTTTCCAGCACAGTGCCAGCCTGGAGCTGGGGCTGGGAAAAAGCCAACCCAAGTGGCAGCTCCTGAACTCCACATTCCCAGGCACAATTGGGCCCCTCTGCCCCATCCAGGCTCACTGAGGAGCAGGAGCAAGGAAGGAAAAGCCATTTTTTCCCTCTAACCTGGTGTGTTTTGGGAAGGGTTGAGGGCTTCCTTCAGGCTTCATGTAAAGTAGGAATGTGGAAATGCCACCTCTGGATCCTGAGCCACCAGAAAGGTGGCATTGGAGCCATTCATTAGTCTTCCTGCACAGAAAGGAGTGTCAGCTGGAAACTGGGCAGTGCAGGAAGATGCTGCAGGGCTGGGACCTCAGGGCTGAGCCTGGCCTGGCACAGCAGCCACAGAAAGCCATGGCAGCAAGGAGTGGCACCTCTGGGCTCTGTGCAGCATCCCCTTGGCAAAGGTGAGGGCTGGGACACCACAGGTGGCCTTTGGTGTGTGAGGACACACGTGAATGTGCCCTAGGATACAGATCCCCCATGGCCACGTGCACCAACACCATCAAATATTGAAAATCAATGGGCCGCTGCAAGGGAAGCAGCGCAGAATGTGTTGCATGAAAACAGCCCTGAGGAGCAGGGAGAAATATTAGCTAAAAATAAAATTAATCTCTTGCAAAGCTGTAAGATTTGCTGATCTCCCTCCCCCCCACACACCCTGCAATCTTTTATGTCGTTTTCTTTAATTACAGCTGGTTTAGATCTCTGCTGCCTGGAGAAGCAGAGCTGGAGTCAGCCCTAAATTGGGCTTCTGGATGATACAAGAGAAAATAACAACCTCCAAGGACTGAACATCTGTCTGCACTGGAATTAATATTAATGACTGATAGTTAATAGAGAATGGAACTTTTGCTTTACAGGTCACCCACTAAACCCCGCAGGTCTCCCAGAGCTGTTTGCTGTGCCATGAGCTTGTCTGGGCTCTGCACAGCCAGGAGCAGCCCTGGCTGCCAGGGGGCTGCTCCAGGCTCAGCTCTGGGGAATGCAGCAGCAATCAGGGTGGCCAAGCCAATCACAACAGAGGGCTCTTGCTTTTATTATATTTCTTTATTATTTCTGTATTTCTTGCATTATCCATTCCCTTTCAGCCATCCATGCTGCTCTCCATCTCCTGTTTTTCCTTTTCCAACAAGAAAATCCAAAGGAGAAAAAAAAAACAGACACCAAAAACCATCACCTGCTCTGCTCCCAAACCCAACTAAAATATTTATTTAGGCCCAAAAACCCACCCCATCCATCCCTGAGCAAGGGATGCCCCAGTCAATGAGCAGAGTGAAAGCCAGGGAGGGTAAATAACTGTGACATGGCTGCTCTGGAAGACACCCCCGTGGGTGCCTGGGGGTCTTTTTGTCCTTTAACCCTCATAATGGGTCTGGGACAACTGATTAGAGGCCCAGGACAGATGAGGTGCAGAGCTCACATGGTGAGTGCTCACCAAACCTGCTCCATGCTGCTTTTTATGTGTCCACTCCAACATAATTTTTCACATGTTGGAAATACAGATGATTTTAGCCTGGGTCCATCTGGTTTCCCAAATAACCTGTCTATTTGATAAATAACATAAATTAAATTAGACAAGACAAACAAATAGTTTTTTTTCTCTCCCCTTTTCAGTCTCTTGGCAAAAAAGGGAAAGAAAACATAATTCAGTGAGTGCCTTGAGCCCCGAGGAGCCGTGCAGCGGCGGGAGCTGGGATTATGAACGTGTCTGCAATGTCAACCTTTACCACACACCTAGGGCTGCTCCTCCCTCTGCTTTTAAGTCCTTTTTAAAAAAAATTCTCCATTATCATTTGGGTTCCCAAAAGCTCATTCTGTCTGCAAACTCAGCAGGTAATGTTGTGCATTAGCAGCACTGCTCTTATCAAGGTTCCTGTGGTGCAGTCAAGGATCAGGAACTCAGAGCTCAGGGGTTTTGTTCCTCCTGTGGGAAAGGGAAACTGAGGCACAGAGAGGTGTTGTTATTATTAGAGCTACCCAACTCAGATGAAAATCTCAGGCTGCAGCCACTTCTGCACCAAAGTCACACCCAAACATCACCAATCACAGCATTCAGCTGTAACTCTGAGTTATCCCAAGGCAACTTAGGGCAAAAAAAAGAGAGGGAAATGGAAGAAGTGGAATCAGCTCTTCCTTCAGCCCAGGAGAGCCCTGCAGACACCATTCACAGAATCACTGAGGTTGGAAAAGGCCTCCAGGATCATCAAGTCCAACCTCTGAGCAGCTTCTGCTGAGGCTGAGCTGCAGCAGTGCCTGGATGCAGGACCCTCATCCCCACCCTGAGCCATTCCCTCCTTCCCAGCCCACCCCTGGCACTTCCAGCAGCAATGGGGAAGATTTTTGTCCCTGTTAGCACAGCAGCCTCACATCCATGCCAGGAGGGGAGAGCTGAATCAATACCTGAAAATGAGAAGGCAAAGCTGAGTTAATGTGCCAGACAGGAGCAGAGGGGCAGCCCTGGAAAAGCTGGAGCCAGGAGATGGATGGGATATTCCTTGATATTCCAGCTCCCACAGAACCTGTCCTTGGCCTCCTCCAATTCCCTCCCATGGAACAGGCTCCCAGGCAAGGAATTTTTAGGGTTCAATGCAGAGCTTCCAGCAGCAACTGACAAACACTGAACTACTGCAAAGTTGTGGGGGAAATGCATCCAGAAACCTTCCCCTTCCATGTATTTCAATTTACAAGCTTTTCAGGCTCAATGGTATTTTTCTACCCTTGGCTCTGGAACAAGGGAAACGTATTTTAAAGGGAAAATTCTACAGGGAAAGCAAAATAAAAGCCATAATTATGGCTAGTAGCATGTGCTGAGGAGAAGCCAGGAAACCACCAGGACCCAGCCAATCCTCTAAAGGTGCTCCTCAAACTACCACTTTCTAATGCAAAAATGTGGCAATTATAGGTCTCTATAAATTTAATCCCTTGCAATGCCAGAGCATGGAAAACTGCAAGAATTTCCCCTGGAGTCAAGACACAGCTTAAGCTTTAATGATTTTGCTCTGCCCCTGTGCCAGAGCAAGCACATTCTCTTGCTGCACTCTAGTGGCAGAGCAGGAGCAAAATCCTGGGAAAATGCCCAAATTTGGAGCTTGAATGTTTTTGCCCAACAAAGCTGGGCTGAATTAGTTCACCTTTCATATCAGTGAAACACTGATAAAGAATGAAGTGAGTGTTCAGAAATCTTTCAGTTACATGGTCCTTCAAGAAAAGCCTGATAACGAGGAAGGAAAGGTCATTCCTCTTCCCTAAACCTCCAATCCCAAATCCAGGTACACCAATCATTAGAATTGCTGCACTGACCTGAAAGAGACACTTCTTAAGACCAGGATAAAGAAAGTTTTGTCTAGGAACTAAAAAATCCAAAACTATTGAAGCAGGAAAAAAACACAGTCTTCAGGCCAAGAATTTTGTGCAAACCCAAGTGGAAGACTTGAGGAGTTGAAAATCCACCCTCCAATAAACACAAGGGGTTGTTTTTGTTGTATTCCAATATTATTGCAGCTGTTCCTAGTGAAGGGCTGAGTTGTGGCTACAAAAAAAAAGGCAGCAATGAAAAAACAGACAGACAGAAATAAAAAACATTTGGGGGAAAAACCCCAAGACATGAGCAAAATCCTATAAATTAATTATAACTGCCTCCAAAATTAAAACCATGTTTTATTGTAAAGTTGCACTTCAATTAGTACCATAATTCTTTATAACATACTGTACAATAAAATATTTTACACGCAGCACATCAGGCATGTGCTCAAGATGTTACAAAATTTACAGCTCAGACATTTCTGCAATGGGGTCAGCACCTCAGGTATGTGACATCCACTCCCAGAGAGGTTTAGTTTTAGAGCAGGACCCTGTGGTACCATTATCTGCTCTCCAACACCTTCAGCTTGTGATCAGAAACATCAGGAATGCTGGACACCGGCTCATGTTTCTGTCACACTGTTTGGAATAGTTGTGAATGACAGCTCCTTATAAATTCCCTCATTCTAGAGCAGCCCTTTCCTTACTGGCTGCTCAGCAATGGATGGTTTCTCTTGGATGAGTGCATGAAAACAACAGAATGCATGGTTAAAGATAGCCTGGAGTTGGGCAAACCAAAGCAACCCCAGCAATGCAAATAAACCCCCCCAGACCTTTTCCTCTCCCACACGTCTCTCACGTTCTTCCCTCTCCACACACACATCCATCTGTAAGTTTAAGGACATCAGCAGTAATAAAAACTTGGAAAGAAACCCTTCTCATATTGCCTCAGAAGAGACTGGGACCTTTCCCACAAAGTAAACATTTCAAGGATAAATTAGAGCTTCTAAAAAGGAGAAGCTTAATAAATGCTCAACATTAAAAATAAGACACTGGAGGGAGCCACAGCTAAAACTTTGTGCTGCAATTGTAAACAAGTGTCCTGCCATGGCCAACACTGCTTCATTCTCTCCCAGAGCTGCAGAAATTCCTCCTTTATTGTGCTTTCAGTTACCTGAGGTATTTCCAGGTGGAACTGATACTTCTGCAGCACCTGTGAGGACAGCCCACAGCAGTGGAAGTTTCCTTAATGCTTGGGAAAGATCAAGACAGCATTTCATTCCAAACCAGGAATGGATTTTGTGCTCCCATTTGCCACAGAGGACTGAGAAAAAACAAAGCACAAAACCACTGCCTGGAAATTACTGGAACTTGTGAATGAGGTGGTGGCACCCATTTGTTTCCTTGGCTGGTGATTTCTGGCAGATTGGCAAAATAAACTGCAGCTGGCAAAGGGGAGACAATCTCTGGCTCCAAGCAGGAATATTCAGCTCTCCAAATACTGGAAAATGCTTCTGCTTTGACTGGATTCCTCTGAGCTCTCTACCCTGGGCCGCTTTGCTGCTGATGTTATCACTGCAGAAGGGCCTCTCTTCTTCACCTAAGGGCAGTCAAATACATTAAAATTTACAACATGTCCAAAAAAAAAAGCTTAAATTCTGAGTTATTAGAGAAATATTCCCTGTGTGCTCTCATACCAAATATTTAAGACAGCAGTGCTCTCAACTGCTTGGCAGATTTCAGTGCCTGTATATTCAAATAATCTGCACAACTGCCAGCACCTGCTACCCAAATCTTTACCTGAGGTTTTGATTTCTCCTTTGCCTCTTCACTCTTCTCTGGTGAAAGTGTATGGAAGACAAAATTCCTTGAATTTCGAGGGGCATTTGGATTAAGATCTGACATTGCTGCCAGCTTCTGAAGGACAGCTTTAGGTCTGTTCAAGAGTGACCCATTTTTTATCTGAAAGGCAAAGAAAAGCTGCATTAAACCACTCTCAGGAAACAAGGCAGGTTGCTCACTGAAACTCTACTCTCTGCTCACACATTACAACAACACAAATCAGGAGTGCCCAGAATTCAGGGGCAGCTGACTTGGCTGTGTTGGGAAATGCCACTTTTGAGGACTGGTACCCACCTGGATGTCACTGGCAGGTCTGAAGGCTTCAAATGGGTTCCTGGGTAACAGAGCTGAGCCTTGTGCCACCACTGCTGGGCTGGCTGGCAGAGACACGGGGGAAAGATCAGTTTTTGAACTCTTTTCCCCTCCTCTTTTTTTGTCACTTCAATAAAAATCAAACTCACCTTTCTTCTGCAGGGATTTGGCAGTCACCTTTTTTGCCAGCTTCATGAATTCGCTGTCTCCACCAATTTCTTCCTCTTCCTCCTGCTCTTTGTTTTTTTCCTTCTGTAGCAGAGAGAAGACAATTGAAAAATTTCATATTACAAATGGACATTTCATTCAGTATTTTAAGTAATTTTCTTTATGTAAATTAATTTTATTTACTTTCTACTGTAAGAAGTTATTGTAATTTCTTAGATACTTCATCATCCTGGTTCTATTAATGAACAACATCACATTCAGCTGAGAAATCTGACCTAATACTCAAGTTTAACTTGAGGAATGAACAAGTTCACATCCAGCAATGATACAGAGACTGAGCAAGCCCTTCCAGCAGCTCACCCTACCTGCTCACGGAGCCACTGCTCTCGCTCAAATCGCTCCTTCCTCCACTTCACTTCTGTCTCATCAAACTCTTCATTCTCCTCCTCGTTATCTGAATCTCTCTGAAACAAGTCCATCTGTGAAGCAAAATCTAGGCAACAAAACAAGACAGTCAGCTATCAGTTTTGAAAATGGAGGCTAGTAAAAAACAACAACCAAAAAAACCCCAAAGCAAATCAAACAAACAAGGCAAAAAAAAACCCCAACCAAACAAAAAAAACCCAGAATCATCCCTCCCCAACTTATTCCTGAAATATTTTATTGAGGACCACAAAGTGCTACTTCACACACACACAAGCTCTGTTTTCAATCTTTCTCCCCCTCCCTGAACTCTGGATCATGGGTCACTGTGGTGGTGTTCACAGGGGTCCCAGGAAGAGGGAAGAGATGAGGATCTGACTCCATGTTTAGAAGGCTTGATTTATTATTTTATGATATATATTATATTAAAACTATACCAAAAGAATAGAAGAAAGGAATAGGAAAAAGAATGGAATGATAACAAAAGCTTGTGACTCTCAGAGTCCGAGCCAGCTGGGCTGTGATTGGCCATTAATTAGAAACAACCACATGAGCCCAATCCCAGATGCACCTGTTGCATTCCAGAGCAGCAGATAACCATTGGTTACATTTTGTTCCTGAGGCCTCTCAGCTTCTCAGGAGAAAAAAACCCTAAGGAAAAGACTTTTCATAAACTGTGTCTGTGACAGGTCACCTATGTTTTTCCATCTGAACCTCCTGGTCCTGCCTGGGCCGTCGCTGTGCAGGTCCCCATCCAGCAGGTACCGCTCCTGGTACAGGCGGAGCTGCCGCTTGTCATCGTCCAGCATGGCCTTCCTGCCAGCACAGGGGACAGGGACAGGTTAGGCCAGCTTGGCCAGGGCCTTACACACCCAAAAACCTGCTGAGAATGGCACTGACATGTGGAATTTCTGTATTTGGTTTCCTAATTCTGCGTCGTTTGGGAGCTCCTCGTCGATAATCTCTTCTTCGTATTCGTTCAGGTCTTCACCGTCATACTCATCCTCACTTCCCACATCACTCCCCGACAGCTCTGCCTCCTCTTCCATGAAATCTTGCAGTTTTCTAGGAAAAATGTCAAAAGAGTTCAGTTTGGGAGCAAAACAGCCATCGCACAAATCTTCTGAAAGCAAGATTTATCTTTTGACCTAAAATGAACACATTTCCTAAGGATGTATCCTAATTTCTCATGTAATTTTTGGAAAGACCAAGCCTTGAGTTCTTGCACATTTACACACATAGCCTGGCATCATGTACCACCCCAAACCATTGTCATCCACCAGATTGCAAAGATGATGGCAATAACTGTCAACTCTGGGTTTTTCTTGCTAGAACAAATAAGATCTTAAGACATGAGGAATGACAACAATATTCTTGCATCCCTTTTTTTGGTCAAAAAAAAAAAGTTGCACTGCTTTGATTGTGGCTTTTTGATTTCCATACATAATGGAAATCATCTATAAGCCACAAGTGACACAGTTAAATTCATGTAATATGATAGCTCCAAAGTAAAAAACCAGACCATATAAACATTTGCTAGAGAGGGAATAATTCCAAACTAAACTTCTAGTACTGTTAATATTCTATTTTCTCTGGTAATTAAGATTTTAAAAAATAATTACAGTTTTTTCTTTAAGCCTGGTCTATGCCTCAGCAGTTCTTCTTCTTCATCACTCGCTTCTGCTTCTTCAGCAGCACTATCTTCACCTTTTTCATCCTGTCAAAGAGAAAGTTTCCAGAAATAAGAAATTTCTCAGAGTGGATTGCTTTGTAATGACAGATTTGTGTGTTCTTCAATTAACAAGACACTAAAACATGAGGCATATTTCAGAGGATTTGCCTTTTTCACTGTATCATTATATTAAAGAGATCTTTTAAGTGATCCAAAGTTTGCTCTGAAAAATGTTTCAGTAGCTTGTTAGGGAAGTTGTGGTACTTTGCATTGATGGATATATTAAAAACCTAGAAAGATAAATGGGATTTTATCCATTTTATCCAGCAGCTGCCTGGCTCCATCAGTTCACACCTCTTCACTTGCACAGGCCTCATCATCTGTTAAAAGCTGAAAACCACCAAGTTCTTCTTGTTCCTCCTCTTCTTCCTCTTCCCTAGGGAAAACATAAATGGGAGAAAGGCATTTTCATTTTACCTCCAGTAAACCAAGGCAAAATTTCAACACCCACCTCAGCTGCTATCAAGCAATTCCCTGGGAGTGCTCAGAGCTCCAATCTGCCAGCAGCATTTAGCAATAACTGCCTCAAATCCCCATGTGAGTTGATATTTTAAGACTTCAGGTCTTCACTTGCAGAAACCATGGGACAAGCACTAAATTTTCCAATTTTTTTCCTCCTCTCAAATTCCTCTTGGATCCCCTTAGCATTCCCACTTATTAAGCCCCACTATCCTTTTGTCAGGCAGCCCTACACTCTGCAATTTAGTCAATAAAAAACTCCAAGTATCCAACTTTGTTATGGCAGCTTGGCAACAGCCCAGAACAGACTCCAAAAAGTCCCACTTTTAATCATCTTTTCTCAGTTTAATGAAAGTTCTTCACTGTTTCTTTCACTATCAGTGTAAGACAAAGGATTTCCCTTCACAGTAGCTGTGGGAAACAGTTGATGCTGCCAATTAGAGAGTAATTGCTGAGCAATTTGCAATATTCCTCCCTTTCACCTCCAAAACAAAGCACACTTTCACCGACAGCAAATTGATGTTAAACAAGAAAACACTTCTAAGAGTGAAACAGGACAGTTACCAGAATTAACTTCTGTAAATTTTAGGAGAGCAATGCTAACCTGTCTGTGGGAAAGGAGCCTGAGCAGAGCTCCAGAGCCTCTGCCATTGGATCCTCTATGTCACTGTCTTTTTCTGCCTTGGAAGACACTGAAGAAGCCCATGTTGGAGAACCTGCTACAGAAAGAAATAAGATGCAACTTATTTAACTTATTTCTGCTCTTAAAGTGTCAGAGAACACCCCAGAAATAAAACTGCATATGCTCCCAACAAAGACAAAACTCCACATGTGGCATCAGCACTCAGACTTGAAGTCACCTCAGCTAAAAATTTCTAAATCAAGTAACCAGCAAAGCTGAGAAAAGAATTCAGGACGTACTCTGAGACACGAATTTCCCTGAACAAAGATTAAGCAGCTCCTCCATGTTCTGCTTTTTGGTGCTGCTGGTGTTTGGCACGTGCTCAGCTTGGCTGCTGAACTGTCCAGAACACAGGTCCAGTAACTCATCCATGTTGGCATCCATGGCATTCTCATCCATGCTGGCCAGTGGCAGCTGATGCTTTGAGGATTGGTATTTGTTCCTGTGTTGTCCAACATTCAAGAACCTGAAAGAAAGGCTGTAGTTAGAAAAATCTTGCTGGTCTGCACATCTTATTTCTGTTAAACACCATCCTTTACACCCATCACTCACCCATCTGCATCAAGCAGCTGGCTTTGAGTGTCATCTTCCAGGGAAAACTGAAATCTTGACTCCCCAGCCCCTGGAAATAAACTCTTGGGCTCAGGAGAGGCATTATAGAGGTCCTGGGAATCTTCTATGGGAAGAGAAGGCTCAGAGGTCTTTCCTGAGCTCTAGTCAAGGGAATACAAAAATATAGAAGTTGTTTAGCAAGCTTAAATTTAAATGCATTGGAAGAAACAGACTTCCCAGAGAAGTTGTGGCTGCCCCATCCCTGAGTGTTCCTGGCCAGGTTGGATGGGGCTTGGAGCACCCTGGGACAGTGGAAGGTGTCCCTGCACATGGCACAGGGTGGGATGAGATGAACTTTGAGGTTCCTTCCAACCCAAACCATGCAGGAGTCAAATTATGTCCATACTGCTCCATTACACCACAGGAGTTCACTGCTATCAGATGTTGTGTAGCCCATGCAAGCATTCTTAAAACCATATTTCTGATGCATGTATTTTAGATATAAAAGCCAGATTATAGCATCATTTCTTTAATGCTTTAGTATATAAGTTTTATAATGCCATTTTTATCCATTCCAATGTGGACACAAACCCAAGGGGCAGTTTGCTCTTCTGAAATCTCACTGATACCAAAGCATTTATCTGGGTTGATTCTTTTGATAGCTCTGACCATCAGGATAAAATACATTTATTTACTTCCCACTGTGTTAGTATAAGACATGACCAGGAGAATCTCACCTTGGAAGCAGAGCTGATAAAACTTGTTTTGAAGAATCCTGGGGAGGGTGACCTGAACCCCCCTGCTGCAGGGAAGAAGCTCCCTCCCCTCGAGGCCTGCTTGTTACAGGGCTGGTAGGATGGGATCATGGAGCCAATGAACTCAAAGCTGCTGTTGTGGCTGTTCTCCTTTGGCAGTGCTGGTAGAGAAAATGAATCATCATCCTCTGGAAATAAAAAAAAAATATAGTGCTTAATTTTTTATGTGTGTGTAATCCAGCAAAACCTCAATATAATATTTTGCAACACTGACACCTTGCTAAAAATTCATTTTGTGATCATGTTGGATTTCCTTCTTCTCACAGGTTGCATATTACACTTTTTTACTTTTCTAACATTTTATATTTCTTCCAGTATTATTTTGAACAGTATTTTTCCCTCTAGTTTTTTCAAGCCCACCCATTTTTTCACCAATCTAAACTTTTAAAACTATACCATACTATATAACTATATACAGGTGATGAAATAACAGAAATACTGAATACCAGTCTTAAATAGAAACTTTTACATACGCTAAATTAAAAAAAACCCCAACAATTATCTAGGGCAATAATTCTACTTTACCTAACTTGTTAGGTCCTTTGTCTACAGTTTCTTCCATTTCCAGTTTTTCATCAGGAAGAGAATATCTGCAATTCATAAAAGATATTTGCTAATAAATTTAGGACTTAAATTTATATAATTGCAAATAAAAACAAAACAAAGGAACACAAAAATACTTACAAAAGGCACTTTAAATTAAAAAACTACACATGCTGATCAAATTTAAAATTTCTCAGTCATCACTTTTAAGGCTTGGATTATTTACCCCATTTTTGAGGAGCTGTCCTTAAAAAGCATCAATGTAGACTCTGTTGAAGGATGTTTTAGAACAGAATCACCATGTTCAGATTTCTCCAGCTTCTCTCCATCAATGGATTCTTTGTCACTTTCTTTATCACCATCTTCGGTGTGTTTCTCTTCTGTATCTTCATTATCTTCCTCTGCTTCATCAAGGAGAAATTCTGAATTCTAAAAAACATCCCCAAAACACATCACAGATAATGATTATGGTCATGGCAAATCCTACCCCAGGTGAGGCACGTGAGCTGTTTGGCCCTGCCAGCAACGAGCCAAGGATTTATAAAAAGGGAAAAGGGCATCAAAACCTTTTAAACACTTCTATTTGATTTTATAGTGTTTAGATAAATAGAGAAAATACTCATGAGTTCAAGGTTAGACAATCCAAATCCTGAATATGCCAAGTATAGAATTTTTTAGCTTCTAGGAGGAATTCTTAGCAATTCCCCCAGTCAGTAGTGTACCAAAGTCCCATTCCACAGGGGAAAGGAAGCAGAACAGAGATGCTGATGAGGTTATGGAAAAATGCTGCATACAGACCTCATGATCACCTTCTTCTTCTTCTTCTTCTTCCTCTTCAGACTCATCTGTCATCTCTTCCTCCTCCTCCTCCTCCTCCTCCTCCAGCATCTCCTCATTGTCCAGCTTAAACAGCGCGTGCCGCTTCTGCCGCTCCTCGGTCCTGCGGAGCTTCATGGCCTCCTGCAGCTTGGCCTTCAGGGCCTGCAGCTTTTCACCTGCACAGGAAAAGATTCAGGGAAGGGTTTGGGTTGGAAGAGACCTTGAAGTTCACCCCTTTCCACCACTGCCATGGGCAGGAACACTCTCCACTAGACCAGGTTGCTCCAAGCCCTGTCCAGCCTGTGCTCGGACACTTACAGGGACAAGGCAGCCACAGCTTCTCAGGGAACCAGGAAAAATCCAAGGAATTAATCACAAAGATCTGACTGAGGCTGTCCTACACAGGCCACTGCTGTTTCAGTGGTCTACCAAGAATTTGTTAATTTAAAGAGGGCTATCCATTAGGGGGAACATACCCAGTAATCTTACAGAAGAAGATCCCTCCACCTGTATTCTGTAGGGCAGCATTGAGAAACACTTTCCTCTCATGCTGTGTTTTCCAATTCAATCCTTGTCTCTTCTTCTCCCCCACCAACCTGGCTTTTTGTAGACTGCTTCCTCCAGGCTCTCTGCAGCCAAAACTGCTGGCACCACATCTGCTCTCAGCTCCTCCTTCCCATCAGATGTTGTTTCCTTACGGATAATGTTCATATTTATGGCCCGTTCGCCTTTGGATTTCGATGTCTGGAGAGTGTGCTTCAAGAAACGTGCTTTCAGGGCTTCTAGTTCTTGAAATACATATTAATTAAATCAATGTGATAGCATGGAAAAGCACTGACTGTTAAAAGAGTAGGTCTTGAGCATTTCTTGTCCCCAAAGTTTAGTTTAAAGCTAAGTTTTAAAAAGGATAGTTTAAAAGCTAAATCTTGAATACTAAAATATTGGCAAAACTATTCTATTCAACTAATTATAACCATCACTGAATATTTATGCTGTAGCTTGTATTTCATTGATATTAGCTAATATTAAATTATCTTACAATTGACTACCATTTGTCTACAAGACCTCAATTCACTTCCAGCCCAGCCTCCCATCCACCAAGCAATTCTAAATTTCTGCTAGCATATTTTAAAGAATCCACACTAGTAAGTGAATGTGCCTGACTGTTCTATCACCTAAATATTTCTGAGTTTTCCAGCCAAGCTCAGATCAACACTGCTTAGGACTACAACACAAGTGCTACCTTTATTTGAATCAGCTTCATCGAGGTTTATGAAGGATTCCTTGTCAGAGCAGATTCTTGGCTGGATGGACAGGTCTATTCCCAGTTCACGAAGTTTATCCAGCTTGGATTTCCTCACTTTTTCAGGCTGTGCCACCAGCCCAGGCCCCCCTTGTGGAGTTTTTGTTTCCCCTTGTACACCTGGTGCTCTTTCCTCTCTTTCCATGAGGGCATCTCCAGATGCTGGAGGAATTTCACTCTCCTTTTGCTCATCACAGTCAGTGCTCAGGCAGTTGGAGAGCTGCTGTTCCTTTGTGTTATCATCAGTTACAGACTCTGTAACTGCATGAGAATCCTCCCTGTCCTGCCTGGGCTGCTCAGCACAGTCCTCTGGCAAGTTCCTCCCTTCAGCAGCAAGAGGCTCAGTCACAGAAGCATCAACATCTCTGCCCAGGCTCATTTCTGGTTCAGCAGCTGCTGATTGATCACCTTCCATTGGCCCATCTTTGCCACCCTTGCTCAAGCTCCCAACAGCTGCAGGTTCTTCATTTAGGGTCAGCTGGTATTTAGAGGACCTAAAAGAGGCAGAAAGAAACACACCACCAATAGTTAGTGTGAAAGGGAGAGAAGGCTGAGGACAAACTGAAAGGAATAAACCATTTCCTAATTATTGTCATTAAGTGTAGGAAGAGATGAAGGACAGAAATTTGGAAAACTTCATGAGACCTTAAGGAAGTGTAAAAGTTTTGTACTGGTTACAGTATCAGAGTATGAAATTCCTGAGGGATTTTGTGACTACTGTAGCTTCAGTATTTTACTACACATTACTCAGAGAAGAAACAGCACAAGTAAAATATTGGGGTTCAGCCTAAATCCCATCAAAGTAACTCTGCATCAGCAAGTTCCTTCATATGAGTTACTCCTGGCCCTGATCACTTCAACAGTATGACTCTGTCAGGAGAGCAGCATTGCCTGATGTTAGCAATGGCATTCTCCTAATTTCCTATTTTTATGGATTTAAAGTTTGGTTATCCTCCAAAGAAAAGCTAGAGATGCCTAAAGTTTATGAAAAAATTGGATGAGGAAGGTTTAAGTCCTTACTTCAGCAGGGCCATGGCATTTCCTTGACATGCTGGTCGAGGTCTGCTCTTGAAGAAGTCATGAATACTTTTGGCCTCAGGCACGTGATATGGGAGAGACACAGATGATTCTGCCAGAGAAAAACAGTGAGAGAAGATTTAAAACATCATCCGAGCCCTTTATTTAATAACAAGTATCTTTATTTTCATTAGTTACAAAAGTATCTTTAACAGGTCCTTCAATAAAAATGGTCTTGCACCCTTCAACCCTCAGTAAGCCACATTAGGTCAAAGGAGGCTCTAACCTTCTGAGTAAATTCTCTCAAATTCTCCTCTGAATTTCTGAACAGTTTATACCCCTTTACATATAAAGATTTTAAGTTTTACCTCTAAGAAGTCGTTGGGTCTCACTGTGTAGTTGTTTAATGGCTTCTTTACTCAACCGTGCTGCTTTCCGCTCCTTAGGGGGAGAAAAGGGAAAAGAAAGGTTTCTGAAGTCAGGGAACAAAACACGGGGCTCTTTCTCTGCTTCTTAAATAGTTTATTTTTCCCTTTCAAACAGCAAGGAGTCAGAATAAAGCATCCCATTAAAAAAAAAAAACCAAAACAAAACCACACTGTGCACACAAAACCATTTTAGTCACGACAAACAATCCAGAGCTTTGAAAAGATGAAGACCTCACCTTCCTTTTTGGCTCCTTTAATACAGGCTCCTCATTCTCCTCATCAAATACATGTTTGTAGCCCTCACTGTCAGGAAAACGTTCTTTGTTCTATGGGGTATAACAAGAAATTCAATGATTTCTATCAATACACTGGCACTATCAAGGGCAAACACATAATAAATGACTGTACAGAGCTACCACTGGTCAGCAAAGCCAGCAAGTGCAGCACAGACCCCACACAAGGGCAGATTCCAAAGCTCCTACTCCAGAATTCTTTTTAAGTTGCCAGGACAACATCCCTCCATCTTTAAAAACAAATCCAGAAGGCTCTCCTCTCTTCTGCCACAGCAGCACAGCTCCACCACGGTCACAGAGAGTTTTAGAATCTGTTCAGGTAGAAATTCCTGCTAAATCCAGTAACCATGGAATGATTTGGGTTGCAAAAGACCCTGAAGTTCATCCCATTTCAGCCCCTTCCACTGTCCCAGGGTGCTCCAAGCCCTGTCCAGCCTGGCCTTGGGCACTTCCAGGGATCCAGGGGCAGCCACAGCTTCTCTGGTCACCCTGAGCCAGGGCCTGCCCACCCTCACAGGGAAAAATTCCTTCCCAATATCCAATCTAAACCTATTTTCTATCAGTATGAAAGACAGTACATTTACAATAATTTTTGCATCACAGCCAACTGTTACCTTGTAGTGTTTTATTTTGTTTTTCACAGCTGCTCGTATGGATTCTAGGGACTCTTCATCCTCAAGGGCTTGATCATCCTCCTCTTCCAAGCCATTATCAAAGAGGTCCTTGTCATCCAGAAGACATCCACTGTCATTGAAGGGAAGCCTCTCACCACCATCCACCTGCTTCCAGAATAAATTATTTGTGTGATTCCTTTCAGAAGGTCCCTTTGGTTCTTTGACATTAATTTAAAATGGCATTAAATCATCAAGTTTTTACTTCCTTAAACTGCAAATTTAATGCAATTTAATTGAAATTGACCTTCAGATTTTGCAGGTAAGACTTGTATGTTGTGGATCCCAAACCTGCTCAGGAATGTGGACACAACACTGAAGCTTTGCAACAGAATAACCACAAACAACAATATATCTAACTTAGTTGAGAAATTATCTGAGGTTTTGTGCCAAAACACCCACCTCTGCCACAGGCTTCTTTTCTTTCCTCAGCTGTTTAATTGACTCCATTATTTTCTCCTTGTCCTTTCTCCTCCTGGATTTTGCTACAGCTTCTTTTGCTGGCTCCTCTTCAATATCATGTTTATGTTTATGCTTTCTGTACTTTTTCCCAGATTTTAGGGGTCTCTCCCCTCCCAGCTCACCCTCAGGCAAGGCAGAGCTCCTGCCTGTTTCAAGGTTTTCAATCTGCAGTGGGTCCCCAGTGTCACTGTCATCACTGTCCAGCAGAGCTGGGAGGATCCGGTGGGATTTTTTCTTCTTTTCAGCAGCAATGTTCTCCTTTTCCTCCCCATTTTCCTTGTCTCCACCCAAAGCATCCTCCTGCACAGCTGAGCCTCCATCCTCTTCCTCTTCACTCTCACTGTCCTCAAGCACTTTCTGGTTTTTTGCTTTTTTACGCACAAAAATTTCTTCTTCTGAATCTGGCAAAATACATGAAAATAAAGAAGTGCAACAAATTAATTAACAAACAACCAAATTTACAGCCATTAAATCTGACATATATCACCATCCACAGCAAATGAGCTTCTCATGGAAGCATGAAAAATCTTTCATGCTTCAAACTCGACTTTCAAAAATCCACTTCTCCCCAGAGAACAGCATTTAATTAACCCAAATTGATGTTAAAGGTTTTTAACCTTTAAAAAAAAAAGGCAAAGCTGAAAATCCTTCATTGGTAGTGCCCTGCCTTAAAATAGGAATAAAAATCAGACTACATAGATTAAACAAAACAGGGGGGAAAATGAATAAACAATTACTAATAAGTAAAAAGCGAATAAGTAATTAAACACATCCCATTCAGTCTTTCTTTCTGTAGCTCATAAAACACTCTTCAGAGGTTTAAAGATGCCTGACCACATTCTGAGCAACAAGAAGACTTTGGATTCCTACAGGTCAAGCAGTGACAATCTCCTAAAAGGTATTTATGAAACAAAAAATGTAATGTTGGAGAAAAACAATTCATGGGAATGTTACAGACCTCTGTCCTCGAAGGATGCTGTGCTCTTGCCAAGGGGCCCTGGGGATGCTGTCTCACAGCTGCCCTGGCCACTGTCAGAGTCACTGTCCAGGGGTTTCTGCAAGTCTGGGTTCAAGTCCTCCAGTGGAAGCTACAAAGCAAAATTCGATTTTTCTTAATGGGATAACATATTGCTTAATGGGGTAGCATATTGCTTATGTAGTCCTGACTGCTGGCATCCAAATTCATTCCAAAACCTTGGCTAAGCCCTCACAGACAATGAAATCCACATGCTCTCTCCTTATATTTTAATTATGGCATTTACATATTTAGTAATGTTTATTATTATTATTTATATTTACCATATTTATCAATACAAATCGCTATTCACATAATGGGTAGTACACGTGCGAGTTTGCACAGCAAAAGCACACCATTGACATTGGCTGATCGTATTCAGACCGGACGTCTTTTACTCGTTATTTTATTATTTTATAAATTTTAATAATTTTTTTCAGAGCCGGCACGGCGGGCCCAGCAGCCCTCCCGGCATGCACCGCGCCCATAGAGAGCGGCTGAGCGCGGCCTTCCCAGCGTGTCCCGCGGCCGGCAGGGCGGGCACGGGGCATGCTGGGAGCTGTAGTCTGACAGGAAGGGCGAGCCCAGTGAAGGCGCGGGACCGCCCGTGATCAAGGGCGGCGGGCAGCGGTGGCCGGTGGCTACTGGCTCCGCCACCGGCACTGCTACCTGAATGGGCGCCGTATCGGAACAGTTACTGGAACCGCCATCTCCCTCGCTGTCCCTCCCGGGCCTTCCACCTCGCCACAGCCCGAGGAGCCGCAAGGCCTCGGGCAGCCGCGAGCTGCCTCCGCCGTCAGCAGCCGGGCGGCCATGCTGAACGGAGGGGAGCGGCAGGACTCACCTCAACAGAACCCTCCGTTGTTACCGGTAGCGCCGCCATGACCCACCCGCGCTCCCGCCGCCCGGGGACCGCTTCGAGCCTTCGCGCGCTGCCCTGGCCCCGCCCCGGCCCGGGATCACCCAATGGCTGCCCAGAACAGCGCCATAAGCCCCGCCCCTGACCGCCTTGTTGGGCGGGGTTCCCTGAAGCCACGCCCCCTCAGCATGGACCAATCGCGGCTCCCGCCCGCGCGCGCTATTGCGCCGCCTGGCGGTGGGGGCGCTCCGCGCGCCTGGGCTGAGGCGGGACCGTGAGGGGACATGAGGGGACACGAGGGGACACGAGGGGATGTTAGGGACTGAGGGGGAGCGAGAGGGACGTGAGGGACCGTGAGGGGCCGAAAGGGACGAGAAGAGATGCGAGGGGACGTGGGAGGCCGAGCGGGACGTGAGGGACCGAGAGGTGACGTGAGGGACCGAGCGGGGTCGTGAGGGACGAAGAGGAGAAGGGAGGGGCGTGAAGTGCCCGGGGATTTACAGCTCTGTCAATTATCGACATTGTGGGGACAAGTCTCCGCTGCCAAAACATTTCACATTGTTTCATGGGTTAAACAAAGCCTATGTTTCGTTTTGATCTTTGTGATATGCTACATGTCGTGTCTCGGTGAGAGCACACGAGTCGAGCTCATGGATATTAGATACACACAGCTATTACTGTCAGCAGTGTCCTATTTACAGAATAAAATACATGCACTTTCCATTGGCTGCTGTACAGACACTCTGAGCCAGCCCCACTCATGTTAGGTGAATGAAGGCTCGAACCTTTTGGGTAAATTCTTTCAATTTCTTTCAGTTTCTCCCTTGCATTTCTGAATATTCCCTCTACATACAAAAGATTTAAGTTTTACCTCTTGTAAGTCATCTAGTCTCATTATGTAGTTATTTAATAACTTCTTTACTTAACCTTGCTGCTTAATGCTCCTTAAGGGAAGAAAATAAAGGCTTCTGAAGCCAGAAAAATTTACTGAAAACACGTAAATCAATGAAGAACTACTCAACAGATGCAAATCGCTTCATACTTCACAGATTTCACAAAATATTCGAAGTTGGAAGGGACCCACAAGGATCATCAAGTCCAAGTGCAAGGTGAATGGCCCATACAGGGATATTCTAGTACAGAGTCAATCCAAGTATGAAAATATTCTACTTTATCCATTTTGGCTTCATTTAGTTTTGTAGTTCTTTTGCAAGTAGCTGGAGGGAGAGCCCTGAGCTGGGGTGAGTGTCAGGGACCCTGTTCTGATCTACAATTGGGTGTATTTGGCACTTTTTTCATAATTACAATTACTTGTAGAACATCCTGCTACAGTAATACACTTCCTTCCAAGTCACCCTGTGGGAATCTGCTATCACTGAAGGCAAGGGAAAAATAAGAAGTGTTTTGGGGTTTTTGGTCAGTTTTTGGGGTATTTTATTATGGTTTTGTCAGGGGCAAGGAGCAGATAGACTGATCGACCATGACAGTTCACATGGAGCCAACAAGCCTGAGAACAAAGGAAGTGAGAAAAGCAAATGTCCATGAAACCCGCCACAAACACCACAGTTCTGCTTTCTTCTAGCTGCTGCAGGAGCTACAGTAATTAATTTAATAATTAGTGTTTAGTAACAGAGGGACAGATGCTGGCTCTGCACAAACACACCTCCTCAGGGCTGCGCTCTCATGGCTGCGTCAGGATGAGAGTCAGAGTCAGCTGACAAGAAAAAGGTGACAAAAAGATTGGCCTTATTAGGTAATTTCTGATCCTGGGTTGTTACTCATACCTGGCACACAGAGGCAGCCATGGAACAGGTAAAATGTTTGCCATCAAGGAGGTTCTAAATGTCACACAGACTTTTAGCACTGGATCAAGCCCCATCTTAAGACATTTATATTATAAAAGCTAGTTTAGGAATCTGTTTTTTACTAAACAACATACTCCTTCCCCAGCTTGCAGCAGATGAGGTGTTTAGAAGGAAATCCTCAGAGATAATCCTGTCATAACTCTGATCTGTCATTCCCAAGTCCAGTCTTGACCCTGGAAATGTGGCTGTTTTCAAGTTAAGGCTGGGTTAACATAGAGAAATAGGGTTCTGACTGCTGTGGCAGTGGGGATGTCTCACTATGTGTGTAATATTTATCAAGTTAATTGAATTTATAATGCAGTGAGTAAAGGCTTTAGTTATCACACTCAACATCTTACAGGACTGAGCCTTTGTATTGCAGATTTCTTGAGACAGAAATTGTATCTTTGGTGGTTTTTTTTTAAAGTACTGTCTGTGTAGCCTTACGTACGTGGTTTTTATACATAGATATGATGAATAATAGCATGGAAATATTGCCAGGTGTTGTGGAGGTTGTTACTGGTCTGGTAAAACTGGTTTTTTCCTCAGGTGTTCATCAGCTGCTGTCAGGGAATTATGAGAAAATCTCAGATCTATATGAGAATCTCAGATTTCATTTCATTTTAAAATAGATTTTGATGTTTCAACTTGGAAAATATCAGCCCCACAGGTTAAAAAAGGCAAATAAAATGGACTCAGCATTTATTATTTATAAAATGTTTTGACTTCTGATTTTCTGGTGAGTCAGCAGGGAGCTGTTGGTTAAACAGAACCCAGGAGGTGCACAAGGGAGCAGCTCGCTAAAATAACATAAACTGCTTAAAAAGGCAAAAAGTCCCTAGGCCCTTTATTTAATGACACATAGCTGGAAGTGCTGTCTCTTTACCAGAGGATAAATTTATTGTCTGTGAGGATAAGGGGACGTGGCCATGGCAAGATTGTCCCAGGAGCTGAACGCCCTGGTCAGTGGAACACCCTGGGTTCCCAGCCCGTTGATTCCCAGGCAGCTCCTGGGTGGTGTCCAAGGTTGTGCCAGACACTTGTGGGTCTCCAGCCCTCATGGATCTCCAGCCCTTGTAGATCCTCAGCCATTCCATGTCCAAGGAGCACCTCAAGGGCTGCTGGCCACAGCCCTGACAGGTTCACTGCTGGGGCACACCTGCCTTGTGCAAATCCTGTTTTGTCAGCTCTCAGGGCTTTAGCTGCTCACAGTGACCCTGAGATGTGTTAGAAAGTCTCTTTTCCCAGCCTGGTGGTCGAAGAAGGAGTCAGAGCTCTTCAGTTCTTGTTCTCAAGGTTGTTTATTGTTTCTTATCTATAAAATTCTTTCTCCTGGCCTGCCGAGGTCCTCTCAGCAGGACAGACAGAGGCACTCTGGCCACCCTCAGGGCAGTGTTGTTATCTTTTATACTAAAAACTACCTGTACAATATTTACAATAACTTCCCAATACCTATCACCTATGTTAGACACTGAGCTTCTACTCTAAACCAATCCAAAAGTGCCACCATCACAGCAGAAGATGGAGGCCAAGAAGAAGAAGGAGAAAGGCTGGACACGCCCAGATTCCTCCATCTTGCCTTCTGAACCCCCATTCTAAAAACCTCAAAAAATCTATTTTTCACCCCATGACAAACTGATTATTATTCTACTTATACTTTTGTGGCTTGCAGATCCTCATATAAGGTTGGTAATTTGCTCCATGGGTCATAATCAAACCCACAGGTGTCTGAGGCTCTGTGCCAGGGTCCCTGAGCCCCCTGGCAGGGGTCCTGGCAATCCAGGACAGCCAGAGGGATGTCCTGAATTCCAACAGTCAGGTGTTTTAAACCCCACTGAGGCCGTTTAGCTGGGAATGCTGGGAGTTATTCAGGGTGTCATCAACTGAGCAGGGAGAATTCCCTGGTTTTGGGGAGCAGTGGGGGACTGGTGAAGCTGGAGCAGCGCCGCTGTGGGCAGGCAGGCACCACCAGGGTGGCTGGCACGGAGCGTGCTGGAGTTCTGGGTTAATTATTAAACCTGCAAACAGGTGTTGGGTTTTGGGACAGAACAGGGAGGTACAGACAGACAATTCCCTCCTTCCTGGTGCCCGAGGGGCAGCAGCTGTCACCTCTTCTGAGGCAGCTCTGGAAGGGCCACATGCGTGAGATGCACCCTGGGAAGAGCCAGCAGAGGAAATCCTGACACCCAGCCCTAGTGAGGGACATCTGGAGTGCTGTGTCCACTTCTGGGCTCCTCAGGACAGGAAAGACAAGGAGATACTGGAGAGGGTCCGGGAGAGGCCACAAAGATGATGGGGGGTCTGGAGAGACTGTGGGAGCTGGGCCTGGTTAGTCTGGAGAAGGGATGGCAGAGAGGGGATCCCATCAATCCACACCAATATCTGAAAGGCAGGTGCCAAGAGAATGATGCCAGACTCTTGTCACCAAATCACAAAATTTGTTGGGGTTGGAGGGGGCCTCTGCAGCCAAGGCAGGGTGACCCAGAGCAGGTGACACAGGAATGCATCCTGGTGAGTTTGGAATCTCCAGGCAGGGAAACTCCAGAATCTCTCTGGGCATCCTGTTCCAGTGCTCGGCCATGCTCATGGAGAGTTCATCCTTATGCTGAGGAAGTGTTTTAGTTTACGGCCATTGCTCCTCACCCTGTTGCTGGGCACCACTGAAAAGGATCATTCGCTGGTGCCCAGCAACAGGATGAGGAGCAATGGCCATAACCAAAATCACGGTGTTTCACCTTAACATGAGGAAGAACTTGGTTATATTGAGGGTGACCGAGCACTGGAACAGGTGTCCAGGGAGGGCGTGGTGTCCCTATCCGGAGACAATCCAACCCCACCTGGAGCGTCCCTGTCACCTGCTCCGGTGACCCTGCCTTGGCAGGGGGTTAGTGCTGGACGATCTCCAGGGTCCCTTCAAACCCGAAATATTCCGGGATTCCGTGATTCACAGCCGGCACCTGTTGCGGCTGCGGGGTCGCGCGGGCGGCGTGCGCGCTCCCGCGGGCGGTGGGGGGGGCGGCGCGCGTGCGCGAGCCGGCGGCGCCGGGCAGCGCGGAGCGGCCTCTTCCTCCCTCCCTTCTCCTCCTCCTTTTCCTCCTCTTCCTCCTCCTCCTCCTCCTCATCCCCGTCCCGGGAGCGCGCTCGGGCGCGTGCTGGCGGCGGCGGGGGCGCGCGCGGGCT